GTTGGGCCAGGCTAAAGCCAGGAGCCAGTAATTGCATCTGGGTCACCCATAGGGGTGACAAGAACCAAATCGCTTGAAGCATCCTGGTACTTTCCTAGCTGTATCAAAAGTGAAATAGCCAGGACTTGAGCCAGCACTCTGATTTGGGATGCCAGTGATGCAAGCAGTGGCTTACTTCTCTACACCACAGCCCTAGCCCTAGAAAAGTTCTATCTTAAGATATCTGGCCAGTCCATTTTGTTCATTTGTACTACGAATCTGGACCCTGCAAACATTTTGATGCAATTTATAATTGAGGTCACCTTTTTGGCTTAGTATCCAGAGAAATGCTGAAAATCACTTTAAAAAAGATTATAATGAGAACATACTTCAAAAAGTTTATGGAGAGGGCAGCACTGTAGCACAGCAGGTTAAACTGCTGCCTGTGATGCCAGCATACTATATGGGCGCTGGTTTGAATCCCAGCTGTTCCACTTCTCCCTGCTACTATGCATGGGGAAGCAGAAGTATCTGGACTTCTGTGATCACTGGAAGGCATATTACCAGGATGAAAAAATGAGGTGATACAGTGAGAAGGCTTGTATTCACTTCAATGTGGCATCTACCGCCTGGACTGGGACACCAAGAACCAGCATCCTGAGGACCACATCCCGTAAGCCTCTGACCCCTGTTTCCTTATCTGCTTTACTCGCCTGTCTCATGAATTAGTTATGAAAAAGGACAATGCATATTGAACAATTCTGAGGGCTATTGGGTGCAGATGAGATACTAGAAGGGTCACTCCCCATTGCCAATCCTTCCTACTCTGCCTGCTTAGCATCCAGATTGATTCAGTGAATTTGTTCCTCCTCATCCCTGGGATACCCTCTCTTGGGTCCTTTCTGCTCTTCCCCAGGTCTCCATCTATGTAGCTACAACCTCTCCTGTGTGTCAAGAAGAGGGCGCTGTATCAGTGAAACCATTGGGTACAGTCCATGTTTTGTATGACATGTTAAGCAACTTTTGTGATCCCTCACCTCTCCAAGTCCCAGACTCCCTGCAACTCCAGCCTTTAGTCCACTTCACAACATTTACACTTGGCCACTCTTTTGTTGTTTAGATTGTGGTGACATAGACATCGCAGGAACTTTGACTTTATCATGACTGTTTTTAAGTGTACAGTTTAGAGGTGTCAGGCACATTCATGTTGTTGCATCACCAGTTTCCAGAATTCTTTCCACTCTGAGCAGCCACTCACCATTCATGCTTTCCCAGTTCCTGACAATCCTGATTCTACTTTCTGTTTCTGTAAACCTGACTCCCACAGTAACCTTGTGTCTGGAATGACACAGTGTTTGTGTTTTGTGATTGGTGTGCTTCACACTGCTTAGTGTTCTGAAGTTGATCCTTGTAGCATCCATCAGAACTTCTGTTTCAAGGCTGAATAATAATGTGTATAAGCCACATTTATTTATCCATTTATTCATCAATGGTCTCTTGCATTATTTTTACCTTTTTACTACTGTAAATACTGGAACGTGGATGTATAGATATTTCATGATCCTACTTTGGGGACTGGTGTTATAGTATAGTGGGTTAAGCTGCTACCCACAATGCCAGCATCCCATATGAGTAGTGGATCAGGTTTCCAATCCAGCTCTCTGCTCATTGTCCAATAAAGCAGCAGAAGGTGGCCTAGGTACTTGGGACCCTTCCACCCATGGGGGAGATCAAAAGGGGGTTTCTGGACCCCTGGCATCTGTCTGCCCCAACTCTGACTATGTGGCTATTTGAGGAGTGAACCAGCAGATGGAAGATTTTTCTCTCCCTCCCTTTGCGTAATTCTGCCTTTCAAATAAATAAATAAATCTTTAAGGGAAAAAATAAAACTTTGTAATTCTTTTGAGTATATACCTGAAAGCAAAATGGGTAGATTATATGATAATTCTATTTTTAACCATATGTAGAGCTACCATACTCTGTCATCTAGTTACTGTAGCATTTTACATTCCCACAAATGATGTATGAGGGTTCCATTTCTGTACATCTCACCAACCACTGATTATTTTCTGAGGTTTTTTGTTGTTGTTGACTGTAGTCATTCTAATAGATGTGAGATGGTATCTCCTGTGGTTTTGATTCACATTTCCCTAATGATTAGTGATGTTAAGTGCCTTTTCATGTTCTTAATGACCACTTCTTGTTTGTGTATTTTCTTTGGAGAAATGTCCCTTCAGGTTCTTTGCCAATTTTTCATCCAATTTGTTTTGTTGTTAAGTTATAGTTCTTGACCATTAGCTTTTAAGTCTGTGAGGACGTGATATGGACCCTCTTAGCTTGCAGAGGGCATCTGAGATCATGCTCAGCTGTGCGGTGCTGTCTGTAGAGCCCTGCCCATGGTTGCTGGCTGGGGAACACGTGGTGATGCAGGTCTCCTGAGCCAAAGGCTTGTGGAGTGTGGTTATGCACGCATTCATTTTTGTTTCTGAAAGGGTCAAAGGCTGTGGTCAACATCTTATTGGAATCGTACTTGGGAGGCAAGTGAGGACTTAGAACATGTTGTGCAAAATTCTGACTGGGGTTATTTCTCTCACTAGCCTTGCTTGGACTGCATTTGCTTGGTTGTGTATAAATTCCAATTTGCCTAATCATGTTGGTCTTAGTGATAAAACTTGGTGTTTGTTTATAGTCTCCGAGTACACTGCTGTCACATGAGTCTCCTTTGGTGCTCACTTATGGAGAAGGCAGGGGACTGCAGTCCTGGCTTCCTGATGGCAGAGCAGCACTGGGTGACTGAGGTGGAGTGTCTGCCTCATCCCCACTGCCGCAAGGCACTTGCACTCCCTTGAGTATCAGTGCTCTCAGTCAGTGCTCACTCTCTTCCTCCCTGATCCAGCCTTTCCATCCCACTCCCAGTTCCTCACCTGGAGTACAGGGATCAGCTTTCTGCCCAGTCTCCTTGCCTCCAGGCTTGCCAATGTCCATTGCTGCCAAATAAACCTCTTAGACTCCAGCTGAAATGGAATTGATGCTTTCAGGGTAGAGTCTACACCAGTCCAGCAGCGCCTTGGGCACAGCAGCCTCAGGGCTCCCAGAACCACCTCCTTTGCCTCTATACTCACACAGCTCCCTCCTGGCTGCTTCCTCTGTCTGCAGTGCCTCCCAGTGCAATTTGGCCCACTCGCTCCCAAGTTTGAGTGTTGTTCTGTTCACCCTGACCAGCGGCCCTTGTCAGAGCTGGGCCTGCGTATGTGTGGGCTTGCTGGAAGTGCCCCTGGCTGTGGTATGTTTGTCTTTCTCCTTGCTGCACAGTGTGCTGCACATCTGGGCAGCAGCTTTTCAAGTGAGCCCAGTGCCCCTTACAGAGGTCTCTTTCAGCAGGAAGGAGGGAGAGCAGAAAGGAGAGTGGTTTTTTTTCCCAAGGACTTGTTTTCTCCCCGCTAATTACATTCTCACAGGCCAGGGTGGCTGAGTTAGCGGCAGCACCCAGAGTAACCAAGTCAGCTTGCCCTCGCTCCCTGGCCACCCTGAAAGAAGCCAGCCCCAGGACTACCTTCTGGTAAATGTGTCCCAGTGAAGTGATGACTCATGTGTGTGTGACTCAGGGTGATGCGGCACAGCTGGAAAGACAGCCAGTGTGTCTGCGCGGCGCTGGGGGGATGGGTTGCAAGGCCGCAGGATCCAGGCAGTGTTTGCCAGGCACTCAGAGCCTGCTAACCAGAGCGAAGGTATGAAGTTTCCTCTGTCTGTAGAGGACGCTGCCATGGCAGTGCTCTTATAAGATTTCTTATCTCTGGGATTCTGTCAAATCAGTGACTACTAAACAGTAAAGAAACATTCACTGCATGCTTATTGTAAGTTACAAGTACTGTGATAAGCATCTTGCACACAGATCATTTAAAACTTATAATAGACAGCAAGGATAATAGAAAATGCATTCATAAAAAAAAATCATGGGAGGTGGAATTAAAACCTAAGTTTGGGCCAGGCCTTTAGCCTAGGGGTTCAGATGCTGGTTCCAATAGCCACATCCCCAGTGGGACTGGGTTCCTGGGTTCAGTCCCTGCGCCCTGCATCCTGATGCCCAGACCCTGGGAGGCAGCAGATGGTGGCTTAGGTGACTGGGTTCCCATCACTCAGGGAGGAAATCTGGACTGAGTCTCTGGCTCCCAGCTTTCAGCCTCTGCCCAGTCCCAGAAGTGATGTGCACTTGGAGAGTAGACCAGTGAATGTGAGCTCTCTGTTTCTCTCCACCTCTCAAGGAAACTTTTTGAAATCCATGCAGGGATCTTTTATAGCATACAGTTCTGTGAAATTTCTGAAGACCCCCTGTACATATAGATTTCAGAATTTCTCTACCACAATAACTTATCTTTGACTTCATTGAAGTACCCTTGTATCCAGCACTTGCAATGCACCAGATACTGTTACAGGCTCCTTGTGTTTATTCATTCATGTGATTTTCATAGCAACTCTATAAGCAGGAATTGTTATCTTCAGTTTATAGTTGAGGGGATTGAGGCCCAGTGAGGCCCTGATAGAGATGCTCGAGGTTACACAGAAAGAGAAGCTGCAGTTCAAACTCAAGCAGTCTAGCTTCTGAGTCCACATTCTTAACTCCACAGTATGTTTCCTGGGTGAAGTGTGGCGATACTTCCATTTCACAAGGGGAAGAAATGGAGCCTCAGAAGTTAGTCACTTAGCTGCAGTCCCACAGCAGGGAGGGTGCAAACAGTGGGAGATAGGACAGCCACTATACCCTCTCACCCCGACTCAGGAGATGAATGGCTATGACACCATGGTGGTGTACTTGGTCCTCTGTAGCCTTCCCCACTGTTACTTCCAAGGCCGAGTCCAGAGGTTGGACAGGATTCTGGGGCAGACACTTTATTCCATGTCTGGAAGCACTGCAGTTGGCCGGGGTTTGACTGCACACTCTCCTTCTTTGTACTTTGCAGTGTTGGGTCCCAGAGTTCTTCCTCACCCCAGGGATGCTGACAGGACTCTTCTTACCTCCACAGACAGCGAGACCGTGCACTACCACTACGGCCCGAAGGACCTGGTCACAATCCTCTTCTACATATTCATCACCATCATCCTGCATGCTCTGGTTCAGGAGTACATTTTAGACGTAAGTGTGACATATCTAGATTCTGAGATCAGGGGGTAGGGCAATGCCTCATGGAAAGTTTCCTTCTCGTTCCTGGAGGAAATGGCAGCCCTGGATTCATTCACTGACCTATTTACAACCTCCTCAGTCTTGCCAACTGAACTTCTTCACCATACTCTGGGCTCCATCCCTCTCATAGCATCTTTCATCAGCTCATGGGGTAGTGATATTGATTACATGGGAGAAAGCTGTGTTTGAGATATGACAAGATAGTCTTTGTGGGTCTGTTGAACGTGGAATGATTGAGGAAATGTTTCCTTTACATTTAGGCTAAAAGACATTAATATGGCACTCTTAAAATTCTTGCCCTGCATTAACTACTTTGTACACACAGTAAGCTTACACCATGTAACTTGGGTCTGGACAGCTTTAAACATCTAATCATGTTCAGCCCTTGTGTGAAGACAGGAGTCTGAAACCTACCCAGTATGAATATACTCAGATATTAACATGCATGGCTTTCTTCATTCTTTAGAAGATCAGCAAACGACTTCATCTCTCCAAGGTCAAGCATAACAAGTTCAATGAATCTGGACAGCTGGTCGTCTTTCATCTCAGCTCGGTGATATGGTGCTTCTATGTGGTGGTGACGGTGAGTGTCCTTAGGACTGCTGAAGGCTGAGAACCGGCCACCATGCAATTCTGACTCTTGGGTGGCCAAGAAAATGACTCAGGGGCTCTGCAGGGAACAGCTAGGAACAAACTGCTCAGGTTATTCAAGGATTTGTATGTCCTGAAGGTGCTGGAATGAGAGGTAAAATGGTATGAGGAGGAGAGTAGAGTGATCATGTCTAGAAACAAAAAGCTGTTCCAGTGTGTTGTGGTATTAGTGGAATGGTGGTGCTGGGTGGCTGTGTAGCACTGTAGTGCATCGAGGCCCTTCTACAGATCTGTTTATTTGAACCACTGAGGATAGCTTCAACTTGGGGTCCTAGGTCTGAGGCCAGCATAATTTCTTTTTTTTTTCTAAATTTTATTTATTTATTTTTAAGATTTATTTAATTTTTATTGGAAAGTCAGATGCACAGGGAGGAGGAGAGACAGAGAGGAAGATCTTCCATCCAATGATTGACTCCCCAAGTGAGCACAACGGTCGGTGCTATGCCGATCCAAAGCCACGATCCAGGAACTTCTTCCAGGTCTCCCACACGGGTGCAGGGTCCCAAAGCTTTGGGCCATCCTCGACTGCTTTCCCAGGCCACAAGCAGGGAGCTGGATGGGAAGTGGAGCTGCTGGGATTAGAATTGGCGCCCATATGGGATCCTGGTGTGTTCAAGGCGAGGACTTTATCCACTAGGCCACAGTGCCGGGCCCCTTTTATTTATTTTTTATTTTGGTCTGTTTCTAAAGATTTGTCTTTTAGCTCAGATATTCTTTCTTCTGTCTCACCAAGTCTCTTGTTAAGATTTTCCACTGTGCATTTTTTTCATTTGGCGTATTGAGTTCTTCATTTCCAATATTTCAGTTTAAGTTCTCTTTGATATCTCCATTTTCTGGCAGAATTTTTCATTCATGCCATGTGTGGGTTTCTTTAACTTGTATATTTGCTTCTCTGAATTTTTGAGTAATGTTATGATCATTAGTCTCTTCATCTTCACATTCTATTATTAACTGATGTTGTGTTCTTTTGGGGGAATCCTATTGTCTTCCTTGCTCATGTTTTTTATATTTGTTTATTTTTAAGCATCTATGGAAACATTTGTTGGATTTCTTCTTTGAGGACTTTTATCTGTGAAATATACCTCTGTGGTTTAGTGGAGTGTCTCTTCCTTCAGTGGATACCCAGAGGCATGTGCTGGCTGGGGCCAGTGCTTGGGAGTGGGGCATGGTAGATCCTAGCAGAGGGGAGGGTGTGATTGCTTCTGCTGTCATGATCTCAGCCTCAGCCCCTCTGCCATGGTGAAGCAGCTGTGCACCCCACCCATGCATGCACATGAATGCACAAAGGATCCATGCCCCTCTCACTTTGAGTGTAGAGCCCTCTGCAATGGCCTGCCCCATGCACTCCGGGAACTCTGAGCCTCTGAAGCCAGTCCCGGTGATTCCCCAAGGACTCAGCCATACCCCAGGCCCTCTCATCCAGAAGCAAGATTCCTATAGCCACAGGGAGCAGGGACTCCACTCTAATCCCCGCAAGCCTCCCCAGCCCGTGGAGAGACCTGTGGAATTCCCAGAACCAGCTGCCTGCCTGACAGAGGTTGGTGCTCTACTTTGGCAAGTTGAATCCAGGTGCCTTTACAGAGTGGTTGCCTAGTCCAGGCCTAAGTGATTGCCCCCTCCTTCCAGCACCAACCTTCCAAGCCAATCTCAAAGTCAGTGAGACCCTGGATTATCCCTCTGATAAAATCCACCAGTCGGATGTGGGCTGCAGTGGCCTCTATTCATCTTATTAATGTGGCACTTCTCCCCTGTTGGTCATTGGACACCTTGGTGAGAGAAGGGCAAAAGGGCAATGTGCTCTTTCTTCACGGGGTTAGGTAGACACTGTATCCTCAGTTAGTATTCCATGCCAGACTCAAAATCTGGGGGGGGGACCTAGAGGTTCTCCTCAGGCAATACTGCCGGAGGCAGGGGCTGCTGTATTCTGCTCTCACCGCACTCCAAGAACCTGGGGTCCCCATCAACCCCTGGCTAGTGGCCTGCACACTGCCACGTGATAGTACTGTCCCCATTGCTTCACAGTCCCTCTCTTCTGTAGATTTTCCACTGCAGACTTCTTTCCAGGTGTCCCCTGGAAGTGTAGTTCCTTTCCTTTTGGTAGCTTCCTGTTGTCAGGATCAGCACGACTTTTCCCTGTTGAGCCATGTTGGATCACCATGGTCTCTTCAACATTTCAAGAGTTTTAAATTGAGTTAAAAGGGATAGTAGAGTAGAGGGAAAAGACAGAGAAAGAAAGAGATCTTCCAAAAGCTGGTTCACTCCTCAAATGACCCTAAGGAGCAGGGCTGGACAAGGCAGAAGCTAGAATCCTAAAATTTCATCTACATCCCCCATGGAGGTCACAGGGGTCCAGGTTTTGGGTCATCTTCCACTGCATTCACAGGAACATAAGCGGGTAGCTGGGTCAGAAGCTAAGCAACTGGTTCTGGAATGGAACTCCAATATAGGAGGATCTGTCTCTCTTTGTCTCTCTTTTTCTGTGGCTCTGACTTTCAAATTAAAAAAACAAAAACAACAATAAACCTTTTTGGGAAAAAAAAAAAAACAGAAAGAAAGAGGAGCAGAAGTAAAGATAGCTGTGTCACAAGGCCAAGCTAGCACAGGCTAAGAAGAAAAACCTATTTCACTGTAAGTGAAGGCAGCAGAACTTTGGTTTAAAAAGATCTTTCTGGGACCTGACACGGTGGCCTAGCAGCTAAAGTCCTTGCCTTGCGTGCACCAGGATCCCATATGGGTGCCGGTTCTAATACTGGTGGACCTTCTTCCATCCAGTCCCACCTTGTACCAGGCTTGGGAAAGCACTTGAAGGTGGCTCAAAGCCTTGGGACCCTGCACCCATGTGAGAGACATGGAAGAGACTCCCTGCTCCTGGCTTTGGATCGGCGCAGCTCCGGCTATTGAGGCCACCTGGGGAGTGAATCATCAGATGGAAGATCTCTGCCTCTCTGTGTACCTGACTAATAAAAAAAAATAAGTCTTTAAAGATATATGTATGTGTATATATCTTTCTGAGGGCCAATGCTGTGATGCAGAGTGTTAAGTCATAGTGGGCAACACCAGCATCCCAGTTCAAGGCCTGCATGGAAACACTTTTTTTAAAAAGATTTATTTATTTTTATTGGAAAATCATGTATACAGAGAGGAGGAAAGACAGAGAGGAAGATCTTCCATTCGATGATTCACTCCCCAAGTGGCCACAAAGGCCAGTGCTGTGCCAATCCGAAGCCAGGAGCCTCTTCCGGGTCTTCCACGTGGGTGTAGGGTCCCAAGGCTTGGGGCCATCCTCAACTGCTTTCCCAGGCCACAAGTAGGGAGCTGGATGGGAAGCAGGGCTGCCGGGACTAGAACCAGCGCCGATATGGGATCCTGGTGCATTCAAGGCAAGGACTTTAGCCACTAGGGTACCACTCCGGGCCTGGCACCACTTCTGATCTAGCTTCTTATTAATGTACCTGGGAAAGCATCTTCCAAATGATGGGTCCCAGGCAGCACATAAGCCTGCTGTACCACACCAGCTCTGCCCTATGCCATTTCTGCATTATTGCCTTGACCTCCATAAGCCATTAGGGGGCATCACCCTGAATGCACATTGACTCCTTCGAAAGTCAGTACAATCCCACAGATGCCTGCAACATCAGACAATTAATCAACCTCCTCTTTGTACATAATAGGACTCCTATCTCAAACAGCATTTGATATAGCAATATTTCTTCATTCGGAGGAATTGCAGGTGGTCCTTTGGGATTCAGTATTATAAGACCTTGCTTGTTGTATTAAGAAATGTTTAATCCGCCTCCAGTCCACCTGCTACATCTCCCATCTTTAACCAAGTCCCAGGAGCAAGAACCTCAGACTGGAGCTTGGAAAATTCAGCAACCTTTTTCATTCCCCATGTTCGTGGGATCGCTCACACCTCAGTCCTCTGCCTCCAGTAACAGTGATGGGCTCTGATGGGGAATGTCGTGTCTCCCTGTTCCCACAGCAGGAGTCTGCATGCCTCCTTGTGTACCACTTTTATTCATTTTATCATTTCATTGCAGAGCTAATCCTCTAAGTAGCACACTAGGCATTTTAAGTGAGAGGATCCATATGACTTACATCTTTTCAGGCAAGGCTACGTGCCACCCTGTCCCGGGGCAGCCTGGCAGTGTGTGCATGGTACCCCCTTGCTGTGTGTAATGCCCTCTCTCAGCCTCTGTGGTACAGCCCCTTGATGAGTCCAGGCTCAGTCCTGGAGACCTGAGCTGCTTGGAGATAGAATGACCTCAGGATGACAGACCTCGCAGTAGCCTTTCAGGGGAAGCATCGCCTCATCTGAGTCACTTCTAGCCATTCAGCCTCCCTCTGCCCCCTGCCTCCAGCCGACAGCCATTCCACCCAGCCTTGAAACATGGAGACCAGAGTTAGAGGCCAGAGCCAAGTTGCCCCATATCCTTCTGCAGTGCACTTCCTTCTGCCCTTCAGGGCCTTGGAAAAGGGCCTGCTGATGAGCACACAGTGATGCTTTTCGTGGGGAAACCGAGTTTTTCGTTATGAGGAGAGCCAGTTCTGCCACTGACTGATCGGCAGGGACTGAATGACTAGGGGTTTGGAAAGACGCCGCAACTCCCAACTCCTAATGACACCATTGTCCTAGTGTCCTCCACCTGAACCAAGGCCATGAGAGGAAAGTGGCCAAAAAGCAAGAGTTTTGTCGAAGGAAGAGCACCAATCTGCTTCTTGGGAAATGCTGTTTTTACTTTATGATGCTGTCATTTCCGTGACTATGTCTTTCACTCTCCACAGTTGGTACAGCCATGGCAGGTGCTGCCAATCTACTTCCAAAACACGTTGAGGTTCTGTCTGCTACTCTCCATCTGATCCATTACTTCCAGTCTACTAGTTCTTAGCCAAGAGATGCACTTTGTCCCCCATAGGACATCTGGCAGTGTG